GGTTGTTTTCAGCTAATTTAGTAAATCATCAAGAAAAGGAACGCGTTACAGTAACGCCACATACTTTTCCCATGAAAAAGAAAATAGTTACCGGTTCCGTTACCCTTCCCTGAAAAGTAACTCGTTACCTCAAAAGTTACTGAAAAAAGTAATTAGTTACTGTAACGCGTTATTTTTACTTCGTTACCGCCCAACACTGCATATACCTATCTCTCTCAATCCCCTCTTGGTTCATGTGACTGTAAGTCAGTCTCAATAAAATTGTTGATCATTAATCTTGCTATTTCTGCCTGTCTCTATCAATCTCATGGAATTTATGACCAGAAAATTCTGCCCCAACAACTTCTTTTACTCCATGGTTCATGCATGACTGAGTTGGTTTCACATCCAAGTTCTTGGAAGTTTAAACTCAACTACTAAGACAGACCTTGCATAGGTAAAATACAAATTTTACAGTCATTATTTTGAAATTTTGCATTGAAGAAAAAGAACTAAGATACATTTTGCAGACTTGCATGATAGTTCTTGACAATAAGAAAAACTCACTTTTTCCATTTGTTCAAAAACATTTGGTTTAGCAATAATGCATGGAGCTTCTTCTATGATCTTCTGATGTCGCCTCTGAATGGAGCAGTCCCTCCCAAACAAAGATATAGCATTGCCATACTCGTCAGATAAGATCTGGACTTCCAAGTGACGAGCACCCTTTGCCAAGCTCATCACAAATATTGGGGAGCCAGGTACTTCAGCTTGGACCTGGAATACCATTCAAGAGGGATTAGGAAGAAAATATCCTTCTTTGGCTTGCAGATGAAACTGATCTGTGGGACCATTCATTCTAGAATCTAGAATTCTAGAAGATCTAGAGTTATAACAACCTACCTGTCTGAACATATTAGGAAAGTCATCAGAGTTGAGTGCTTTTCGAATCCCCTTTCCACCACCTCCTTCACTTGCTTTAATCATGACTGGGTAACCAATGGTCTGAGCTGCTTGCAGTCCTTGCTCCACAGTCTCAATGCAAGCCCGCTTATACAACTCTGATGATATCTTCAGCCTGCGTTTGGATACATCCTTCTCATTCCAGAGAGCTTTCAATCCTGTTTATGAAATCATACCACAAAAGCACTGTCATATATCAAATTATAATTTATATATTTTTTACCTCATTTTTGTTCTTGTCTACTCATAATTCCATCTAGTCCAGTTTCAAGCAACTTATCCACAGGAATGCTTATGTCATAATAGTAAAAAAAAAGTATACCTTTGTTGCCCCTTTCATGCTGTAATCAACAGAAACTGTAATGAATGGTGACTCATTTATAAATGCAAACAATATGATATTGAGGTAGTAAATGTCTACTCAAGGCAATTTTCATGAACATGACTAAGAATAAATTAGATAATTCTAAGCTCATGTATTGGCAAAAGAAAGAATTAGAGAAACAAAGAACCTATTTCATGTGAGAATTCAAGAGCTTGCAAAAGGGCAGGCATATTTTCATGTGATGATTATCTTGTTCTATCTCCACAAAATCTCATTTTGAGAAAAACAAAGAAGTAGCTCATGAATTCCACTCCATCAATATTAATGAATGCTTAGATCAGTTGGCACCCATATCCTTATCACTTTTCAAACCATATTCAATCATGAATGAAGAATGAATTTCAGATGCATTATACATAAGCATTCACATTCATGGACTTAAAACATAGTGATTCTGGCATTAACAGGAAAACTAAAGGCTAAAATGCTTTTAAGTCCAGTTGTTTCTCCATTCAGCAGAATGTCTACATAACAAGTTAGGGCCCTCTGACAGCCAGAATGATCATTATCTGCCATTCCCATAGTGACCTCTGCAAAAATGGCAGATATTATTACAGGTTTTGTCCATTTTTTAAATCTTAATTCTAACAGTTTGCATTAGCCGTGACAAACAACTTTTCAGTTTGATTCTTCTCCTGTTGCCAATTTTCATTCCCAAGAGACTTAACACATTCACATGTGCCCCAAAGGCTAGTTTTGAGGAGTGTTGATGACACACATGTGTCATCAGCAAATTGTAGTCTCTAGGCCTTTGATTCTCTCAGTGCAAGGGTTAAGGCTTGGGACTCAGCATTGGCACTTACCATAAACCATGTGTCTCTATGCTGAGCACTTCGTTTCTGCACAATGTCATTACAAGAAGAATCTGACTTTGTTCACTAAAAGTTTTGAAAAGGCTTGATTAAAACCATGGATGAAGGGGGACTGCTTTGCCAAAATCTATCCAGAAAGTAAAAAAAAAAAAGGTTTGAACAAAGATGTTTTAAGACCATTCATGTCCTAGCCTGACTTTTCATCGAGCAATAGTGAATATGGCATTTACTGAAGGTGAAGAGGAGTCTGATTCGACCAGCCATGAATATGATGATGAATCCTGCCATGTGGATCAAAGTGCATCAAGGTAATAAAACTAGACTATTGTAACTACAAACAATATTTTAGCATAAGCATTGTAGATGATGATAGTGTCTGCTGAATAGGCATGGTATTCATCTGCACTACTTGTCTGAAACAGCCAGGACTATGCTCTGGCAAATGCTTTGATACCTAGCACAACAGTCTATGAAAGTGGAGAGCTTGCACAGTGAATTCTTATATATTGAACAAAAATATGTGTTCAATTATATTATTTGTCCTGAACTGCATATGCAGTATACAAAGAGTTTTTAATTTAAATATTAGGGAAAACCCAAATGACCCACACATGTCATTAGGCAAATGCTTAAGTATTCATGTAATACTGCCAATGACACACATATGTGTCAACCTTCAATTTCATAACTATTATTATTAACTTCTTATAACTACTATGCTATAGTGATAGAAATAAGGTTTTCCATTAATAAATTTGGGGGTTTTGTTGCAAATTTACTTTCAGTGCATTAGTTGATGATGCAATATTTGTCAGCAGTGAATGTGTTAATATTAGAGAAAAATCTCAAGATTTCAAAATATCACCTGAATCTCTGAATTTCACGATAATCATCTGAAAATTTTCTCAATATTCTTTTCATCTGCCTTGTGACTCCAATCTTGAGTTTCCTGCTTGGTAAAACCTTCAGTATTAGCATGGCTAGAGACAACCAGAGGTTGTGACATCACATGAACAAGCCTCATAACTTTTACTGTTTCATGGGGATGTTCAATGAGGGGACAGTGGCATCCTGGAGTATGGGGAGCAGATTACTATCCCCTTAAGGTTTGATGCTCAACAAAAGGACACCAAAGGTGAATGTAGAAAGCATTACCTGGTCCAAGATGAATTACTGGGGGCATGGAAATTCTGTCAAAATTCTTAAGAGTTGCCAAAGGGAAGGATGGTACCAGGTCATGAATGGGACCCTGTGCTCATTGCTAGCTAGCTTCATGGACTTAGTGGCATTGATTTAGGCACTTTCTCAAACAAGCTCCAGATCAAATGTTTTGGACACCTGGATTTTTTAAGTGCTGTCCATAGTTGAATACATTTGCTTTCTTGTGTGCTTCTCTCAGTCTATCCATAAATGATCCTTTTTTGCCTGTCCAAAATGGATGCTTTGTTTCATGTAACTTAGGTAGCAGTGACTGAAATGGTTTCAGTTTACTTGTTGGTTTTACATAAGAGCTGAAAAACAAATTTGCTTTCCTGTGAACTGACTGTCACGTCAAAGAAAGTGGTTCCATCAAGAGATAAGTGCATAAACTGGAGAGGTCCAAAGTTATTCAATTATTCAAAAGTCAAGGTGTTTGATCTTTGGACTTGTCACTCTCCTTTAGCAATCAAAGCTGTAGAATGCTCCATTCCTGGCAATTACTGACATGTCAAAGCAGTCCTGTGGTCTGCACCCCTCCATGGGTGGCCTTCCACTCTTCACATCTTGATTTTTTATGTATGTCCATCAGCTCATTGCCTCACTCTGAAGGGGGTTTGCAACACATCAAGAGGTGCGTAGTGCTGCCCAGCAGTGAATGGGAAAAGCCACAAGGACTCTTCTGGTCAGCTTTAGATGAGTGGTTGTATTGGTCGGAGAAGTATTGGAATTATGATGAGAAGACACCTGCGCCATTTCCAGTTCACAAATGTGAAATGCGATCTACCAAGATGGCTGTGTGGCCTATGTGTTAATACCAATGCAATGTAATTGTCATAACATGCTGAGTATACCACATTTTCATAGTGTTTCATCATTTCCAACCATGACCTGCAAGTGGCTGCAGCTCTTGAATCCCTCTTCCTACCCACTGAGTTTAAGGATTCCATAATGCAAAGTGTTTCAATGGAAGCAGAAGTCTCATTACCTTTGATACACCCCTCACACTATTCCCTATGAAAATAGTTTATTGGCTATTAGCATGCAATATTTTTCAAGCATTACTGCATTGAATCTTAAATTTTATTTTATTTTTTGGTGGCATGCATATCCCTTCATTCAATATTGCTGGAAGTATGCATTATGACTATTAACCATTTAATGCATGATTTTGTCTTTTTCAGTGCAAATTACCTGGTAGGTTTTACTTGGGTTGAGAGGTTAGACTTCTCGTTCCACTCCTCTTGAGATCCCCCCTACAGTAATTATAAGTCAAATTTCAAATCCTAGACCCTCAATTTTTGAGTTCCTTCCTACCTTAACTGTATCTAGGCAGTTGGTGGCTATGATCCACAATAATATATATTTTTAAATGGGGTAAGCCTATGTTATACATGTAGGTTTGCCCTTCACAAGGTGGCATCATAATAGGCAAAAGTACCTCTTGATGTCATAATTCAAACTTATAACTTTAATTCTTGAATCTGATTAAGGAGTGAGTGACCTCTTGCTCATTACTTCAGATGGTGAACTTTAATTTCATTATGATCTCCCAAAATAAGAGTTTTAAAGTCCTATAGAGTTCCAAGTCCACCAGCTAATCAGAATCATGCCTTGAAAGATTGAGCTTGTCAGAGGTACTTACTCCAATATCAGTCTCAGGCTACAAATTAAAAGGAAAATGACTTATTGTGGGAGTTCATAATGAAATCAGTCATTATCCTTCTAATTTTAGCCTGAGACTGATATTGGAGTAAGTACCTCTGACTTGCTCAATCTGTCAAGGCATGATTCTGATTAGCTGGTGGACTTGGAACTATATACAACTTTAAAATCTGGCTCTGAGTCCCTTATAATAAAAAAAATAATTTTGTTGAATTCATACAAGGTCTGTCACACTGCACTCTGGGAACTTGGTGGACACAAGCAAATCATGGGTGCTGTCTACTGGTTATAATAGGTTAAATTCAGTGGAAAGTAGAGATATAATGCTGAAACTTTCACATGATGACAAGGTATAGATAAATGCTAATGCAATAATTGGCATTTTGTAAATACTAATGAGGATTGCAATCCTCAGTATCAAGCAAGCCTCATTAGCATTGGCAATCCTTTATTTGTGCAGAAAAAAATGGTTCTGCTGATGGCACTTAATGAACATACCAGAACCCGACCAAGGAAGTGTTGGGATGTCAGCTGTTTGTGCAACAATGCTTGAAGCAATTTTGTCTCCCAAAGCCCACATTGCCTTCTCTGGAGGTCCCAAAAATATAACACCATGCTTGTGAAGGAGCTCGGGAAGTTTTGGATTCTCTGAGGCATGTCCCCATCCAGCCCAAACAGCCTCCAGGCATCAATGAAATGAAAAGAAAAAAATTAATGATCACTGATTAGCTACTGAAATAAGCCAATAAATGGCAAAGAAGTCAGTACTTCAAAAACAATAGAAGTTGAAAATTAAATTGCAGGCAGAAATTGTCAAAAAGTAGTTATGAAATTTGTCCAACCCTTTAACTTGTTCAGGAATATGAATTCCTTTGAAATACTCACTTGCACATGCATCCTCTTGGCTATATCCAGGATCAGTTCAACATTTGCATAGTTGTTATTGTTTGTACCACCAGGGACAGGAACATATTGATCGGCCATCTTGATGTACTCAGCATTGGCTGCATGAGAGATAAAGAAGAACTCTGGGTGGTATTCACAAGTAACCACAAATGGTGAAATGGGAATGACAGAAGATCAATTAATGCTGAAGCTCACCATTATTCTCATCCTGGTCACAAACAGATAACTCAACTTTGCAGTAGTTATGTTGCAGAGCATCAATGTAGGTTAAAAGTCTCAAGTCTGACAATTAGAATGCACTATGGGAGGAGGGCATCATGTGATGGATCAGGCAAAAAAAATGCTGAAGGAGGGGCACCTGTCACTGATAATCAACATCCTGGTTTCAAGTACTTGGGGTATGAAAATCTCTGTTTTGTAAATGCCTTTCTGCATTGGTTGGATCATGAGGGAAATGCAAACTCTAATAGCAATCTGTCTGTTTCCCTTTCCCCTATTATTACTCCCATTGAGGCAATGAGATGGATGCAAACCTTCCTCTTCTGAGGCAAAAAGACATGGAGCATCATTACTTAAACTGAGCATTGAAGCATCATGTCCAAGAAAAGTGTTAATACTAACTGTAAGTTACCTATAAGATAAGGTATTAATGTGCAAGCTCAAAAAGACCAACACTCACACAGGATGTAAATGGTCTCCTATGCATATGACAAGTCATCATCAATTACAGCATGAACTTTGTGGACCCACCAGATTGATGTACATACACAGCAGTTGAGTATGAACAACAAAAAAGTGTCCTACAAAATCCATGGCATATTTAATTAAAAAAAGGAGGATACATTTTAAGTTTTAAAAGGATGAAAACTTTCAAGTATGTGAGTACCCAGCTAAATATTAAAACACAGATTGCTGCCAGGGTTGGCCTGTGAAAGTGAATCAAGACCAACAAGTTGAGCTGATCTATACCACCTGATGGAGATGTTAACTTCTAGAATTTCATGTCACAATGAAAGCCAGAGAATAACTTTTGGAGTTTCAATATCCAGGATTGGGTTGGTTTCTGAGGTTAGGTTGTGAGGACTATGAATCAAAACCAATTCACCAAGTCATGTGAATTTGAAAATATATGATTGAATTCTTCATCTTAAAAATGGTTAAAAGGACCTTGATTGCCATGAGGAAACATATGTAGAATGATATCCAAACATATGCTTTGGCAATATCACAAATATATACATATATATATAAATCCTTCTACAGTGACTGCCGGTATTGTAGGTATGAGGGGGGATGAGCCACATCCTAGACATCATACTTGCCTAATTCTGAAGGACACAGTGGAGGATGCTGGCTGTGCCCAAGATTGCTGTATGCTCAAGGATATTGAGTGCGATTTCGCACTCCAGCTTCCTGACATGTCCCTTGAGGTCTTTCAGGACGATGCCAGTTGTGCCTACGATGATCGGAACAATGGTGGTCTTCATTCCACACAACTGTTCTACTTCCACTTTCAGTTTGGAGCATTTCTCCAGTTTCTCCCTGGTCTTCTCTTGGAGGTTATTATCAGCTGGGATGCTCACATCTACAAGGAGGGTGGTCTTCTTCTCCTTCTTATAGACTGTGAGGTCCGGCCTATTACAGCCTATGGTGCCTATAGTGCAGTCCGTAATTATGGGCATGTCCCAGAGTACCTTGGCGTTCTCCACTACAGACTGTGGCTGGTGTTCGTAGCACTTCTCTGGGGCATCCAGGCCAGCTTGCTTGCAGACACACCAGCACACATATTTGCACACCTGGTTGTGCCTGTACAAATACTCCCTCGGGGCTAGCTTGGGGCAGACACTGAGGAGGTGGTGAACCGTTTCCAGTGGTCCATGACAGCATCTGCAGCGGTCTTCCACATCCAGCTTCAGGATGTACTTCTCATAGTTACGAGTTCTGATGCACTGGTCCTGAATGGCTGGGATGTTGCTCTCTGTCTCGGCATTCAGCAGCCCCTTCTTCAGCCAGTTATAGCTGAAGTCTGAGTTGATCGATGGTTTATCCATGATCTTGGGATGCTGGCCGTGAAGCGATTTCTCCTTCCATTG